TCCCGAGTCTGATTCCCTAAGTATCATTTATGCGATACCAAGTACCAATTTATTCACGACCTAATTCGCTTTCTGCTTTTTCCGCGGGATCAAAGAGCATGGACGATACGATATCTTTACGTTTCATCTCGTTCGTACGGCAGGAAGGGGGATTCGAAATGCTTTCGGATCAAAGAGTGGTAAGGTTTTTTTTTTCGATGATTAAATTCCTTTCGAGAGGGAACGCGTAACGATGTTAAACGTACGATCATATATAAATATCGCGATGCGAATGGACAGAAGCTGCATCTATAATTGCGATAACAACGTCGTTATTCACCGACCTTTCGAAACAATCTCCTCGAGGAGATCCATCTTTTTCCGTCCAACGTTCCACGAGGTGAATTACCGCGTGTATCGACGCGGTGCGAGAGAACGCGACGATAATCGACGTTGCACAACCGACGGATACATCGGTTTTCGAGTAATTGGACGCATTGTGTGCACGTTCGAGCAGCGAACGAGTCAATTCCACCCGTCTTTTCACCGTTTCTCTCATATAAATTATTTCGAGTTTTATCCCGCCGGCTCTTGCCGACACGCTCGTTATCAGATCCGAGTCACTCGGCAAGGGATAAGCGAAAACATACGATCGTTTCTTTGCCTTCGAATCGTTTCCGTTCGATTACTCCGCGCCAGATATTTATTTCGAGCGCACACTCGCCACGCGCGCGGTGGTGTCTGCATTCGCGTTATAAAACGAAATGAAATTTTCGTGAGTCGAGGTCGTTTTTTGCGGTTGCGCGCGCACACGTGATCGGCGCAAGCGCAATCGAATGGGATATCTCGAGTGTGGCATAAAATGTACGTGGCACGCGAAAAAGAAACGGGCAGACTGACACGAGTTTCGAGTGTCGGTCGATCGGTTGACGAGAGGCTCGCAGCTGGCAACCATGCAAAGCGTCGACGGGACCGAACCACGGCATCCACGGTGAAATTCTCCCTGGATTCGTGTGACGCGTACACGCATACGCGGTCACAGGGATTGTTTCTATTAAGCGGCTCGAGATCAAAGGATCCAGATGTTGCGCACTGCTATTAAGTAGGTCTCTGTTCTCCTTCCGGACGGCTCGTTCCTCGAGAATACCGCGTCGCGATGAGATGCAAATTCGTTTATTAACCTTATCTTAGCCAGGAAATCTCCACAGCCACAGCCACAGCGTTGGCCAAGGGAGTGTTGGCCCACCCACGATCCAAAGAAAAAAGCATCGCGATTAATATTTTTTGGATTCTTTCGCCCCTACCCCCTCCTTCCCTTCTCCCTCCCTTCCAGTTTATCGCGCGAGCAAATCTTATTTAACAGTTAGTCAGTGTTTCAAACCGTAACTTCTCTCGGAGAAAAAAAATTCATCGAGATTTGTTTCTTCTCGTTCATTCAGGACTACGCCGAGGACGAGGACGAGAACGAAGACGAAACCTCAGCCTCGACCACCCTGTCGAGAATGATGAGCAGCAGCACGACGACCACCACAACGACCACCACCACCACGACCACCACGGCCAGACCTATGGTTACGCAGAATTACGATTATCGGGATCCGAGAGCGTACGAGGGAGGTGGTGGTGGTGGTGGTAGTGGGACAGGAGCGCAGTACAACGGGTACCAATCGAGAAACGACTATCCCCCGATGTCGGCGCACAGCGTTCACAAGTGGCAGACTCTGGGCACTCGAGAAAGCGTCAAAGAAACCAGGAGCAACATGCAGCAATATAATAAGAACGGGAAGAGTAAGTTGGCTTCGATTTATGCCCCGCACTTGTATCTTTGCCTTCGCCTCGATCGGAGAAAAAAATAATACGTGCACACGTACGTGCAATACATACACACAGAGGAGAATCCTACGCGGAGAGAAAAATCTTATCCCGGCAATATTATAATCGAAATTCCACGCTGTCGATTTATGCAAATACGATGTATTCCAACCTCCCCCCCC